GGTACTGTTGGGTCTCTGTAAATGTTATAAGGAGTATGGTCTAGACCTGCTCTATTTGAAAAGTGTCCTGAGATAACTTCTGCTATGAATTGGCGCTATTCAAATAAAATTGAATTGAATTGAAAATTGAAAAAGATCTAACTTTTCAGTAGATAGTAAAAACCCAAAGAACCATATAAGTGAATGACTTGAATGAAGGCCCAGTGTGTAACATTAGAAAATGGAATATAATGTTCATAGTTTGTGTAGTTGGTGTTTTATCACCTGAAAGAGAGAGCGGGTCCTTCTACAGATTCTGCCATGTTGAACCACCATGTTTCTACAGTAGCGGAAAAACCAAACACTGGCTGTAAACAAGCTTTGCAGCCACCTTAGTTTCTCTTGCAGTATTCAGTTGTTTGTAATCTGCCACTTCACCACTAGATGTCATTAAATCCTACAAACTGGTCCTTTTATAGAGAAAAAAAACTCTATATAAAGTTATTTATTTTATATTATCTCCCATCTTCCCCTGTTGAAAAACTGATGGTGGTCACACAAAGAGAACATTGTTTGACACAAGTTTGCACACTGTTACTTTACAGCATTCCTTCATTAATGGTTGTCTTTTAGTTTCAGTTTCTTTCAATTGATTATATTCATCATTTCATTACAGCAGTAGTGATGTCGCGAGGTGGGACAGAGAGCAGTGGAGAAGCACACTCACCACGAGTGCCACAAAAGCCATGCAAACAAAAAGCAAATAAGAGTAATTTATTAATGTAATATGTGCAAAAGATGTACGGACGAGGAAAATAAACAGTCAGCAGAATACAGTTAATTCATGTAAAGGCTGCAGGACACTTTTAAAGGGAGAGAGAAATTCCCTCTAGTCAGCAAGATCAACAAGATCCAAAAATATTACAGAGAGAGTTTGTTAGGCAATTTTATAGCCTACTTTGTTTATTAGTTATTCAGTATAAAAAATATTTTACCGTGGTATCGAATTGATATTGAGAATCGTGGAATTTCACTGGTGTTGGTATTGACTGCTAAAGTTCTGGTATTGTGACATCCCTAATAGCTAGAAATGTCAATATGAGATTAGAAATATGTTTATAACTAAGTATAGACCGTTTCCACAAACATTTCATAAATATACATGAACATTGCAAAAGGCAATATTAACGCACTTCCAGCATGGCTAGAGGTGCATTCAACAAGACAGCAGGAAAGAGACACACACAGGATACACACACACATACAACACTGTCTTCAGCCTGTACTTAGAAACGAAATAACAGAGAGCCAACACGTCTGATGTGATAGTGTAGTGTGTGTGTGTGTGTGTGTGTGTGTGTACCTGAGGCAGTGTAATCAGTCTCTGTGAGTTTTACTCCCTGCAGTTTTCTCTGGAGGTCACAGTATGAACTGTGTCTGGTGTGACTACTCTCCTGACTGTTTCTGCTCCTCTCTCTTTACAGTCTTGTCTATATACTGTCTGTATACAGTATTGTCTATTTCAGACACAGAAACGGCATTGAGAAATCATTTTCAAAATAAAATACCCCGCACAAACTCCGGATCAAATTTCACACTACATCAACACTGTGGCACCAGGCCAGAAGTCAGTCAGAGAAAATTTGAAGCAGAGAAACGCACCGTTTTGTATCCTTTTTAATGACAAAATACACAAGTAAACAACATCAGGCAGGTAAGCAGCTCTAAAGACATTAATGCTCTCGGTGGGATTTGAAGATCGCAGAGCCTAACTGCGTAGCAGACGCATTCATAAAGCCGTGCCTGGTGAAATTTCAGGGTAACTTTTTTTGTCTTTGAGAAACTAAAAAGGAATCCTTATGAATATGGGTTCACAAAGTTCCTCTGCACAACATACAGCAGTGACAGTTCATCAGTACACATTTTCTTGCTGCCACAGCTGGAGCACGCAGTGCGTTGAGGCCACTGTTATGTTATACACTTACATGAATGTACAGTGTTAGCGTTCACCAGTGTGGATCCTCACATTGCTGTTACAGTTAATTGTTCTTGGCGTAGACGTGCCCTTTAGTGAATGTAGGTTCTTCCTGCGTGGCTGCCTTTCAGCCTGCTTTACTGATGGTTTTGTCCGTTTGTTTCAGCGGTGGTCAGTGCCATCCCAGTGCCAGCTCTGGACTCTTCTCAGTATCCTGGTATCCTGCCTTCACCATCCTGTGGCTTCACTCACAACAAGTTCAGCCTGAGACCGATGCCTTTCCCCAGCCTGACTGTGGACAGAGGATACACACCAGGTACTGCATTACTACTTACTGCTAATGCTTCTAAAAATACTACTGATACTGCAATTATAGAGACAGAGATACAAAGCAGGTAGTGGTCATATTACTAAAACTATTGACTTATACAGACAACACATACATCTGTAGTTCTTGTGTTCAGCACTCTTTAGTCAGTCACTGACCATCTATTGAAATAACCACTATACTTATGAACTACTGTACACCAGTCCCTCCAGGATTTTGCAGGCTTTTTTAAAAATTGTTTCCGCCTAAAATGCCTAATCTCATGACAACTTTTTTTTTATGTTGTATAATTCATTAAAAATCAAAAGCAACTTTTTCCAGTGAGAATAAAATCATTTTTTCAAATTGTTTGTCAATTTCTCCCAAAACCACATATATAACAGTTAAGAATACCAACGATATGTATATGGGTCACAATAAACTGCTTGCACAGACTACCTATACAGCCTTTGGCTAAATATAGGCTAAAATTAGTTCAGAGATTAAAACACAAACCTCTTTATGCTGGTAATATCATAACCATATGTCAAATGTTATTTAGGTTTGGATATTTTTAGTATTTTAATCATTGAATGATCTTTCATTCAAAGTGGCTTAGTGTAGGCTAATATAGTTGAATTTGGGAGCTTTATGCTCCAGCAACCCTGATTACCCGAGACTGATGCCAAACACATCAGTTATTCTTGATTCTGAAAGACTTCTCCTTTAATGTTAAAAGTGAAACATAACGTTTAAAAATATGAGCAAGTATGTGAGGCAACCAGTCACACCGGGTTGTGCTACAACGAAAACTGTCTGACAGTCTGGTCCTTTATTTTACTACTTTAACACGACTAACCTACACTGCAATGCAACAACAATACTTTTTCTTTATTTTCATTTCTACATCAGCTGGTAAGGATGCTGACTTTTGTGTGGGACTTGCAGCTTTACCTCCAGTCTTTAAACATGATATCAAGTAGCCTTATGTAGGCATTAAGCATATATTTAAGGCCCAATCTACAGAGTTCTCTGGAGAAAAAAAAAGTCAGGACACTTTGGTAGTTTGATGAGCCAGCTAGCAACAGATGAGAGACTCTGCCAGCAACAGTTGTCAAATCAATGGTCGCCATCTAGAATGGAGCAATCTGCTTTTGTCTACATGTGAAATTGAGGAATCGTTGTTTCAAAAATTACTATGAATTTTGCTGGTGAATCTACCGTTATCACTGTGTATATGTGCCATGCGAGAATAGTAGTACATGGGTAGCAACAGTAACTAAGGGGCAGACCTTGGCAGTGTTGGCAGTAAGGCATTACTAGCAATAATATTACTTTCCTTGATAACCAGTAGTGTAACTAATTACTAATACAATTTCAGTAATAATACTACAATTAATTTCTTTTAAATAACTATCGCAACATATACTGTGGTTATCGCAGTTATGGTTTTTATTAATGTATCACTAATATAACTGGTGCTATGCTCTGACCGCTGCAGCTGTTAATAGAAAGAATAGTACACGTAATAATAACACAGCCTTAACCTTTAATAAACACAACACTGCAACACTTAATCGTTCCAGCTCTCTCTCCACCGCTCCTCTCCTCCCCCTCCCTGACGTATTTAAGCTCCATTTTGCTGCAGAGCTAAATGCTAAACGACGTGGTGGGGAGCAGTAATTCAGTAATTCAGTAATTGGCTAATTCCTGGTCGGCTTGTATCAGTGATTTAACAACAGCAGAGAGACGGGGAGAAGCTTCAGAGTCATTGAATTAGCAGACACACCGGGAGGGCTGATCACTGCTGGCAGAACACACAAACTCGCAATGAGCTGACAGGAGGGTGAGGTGGGGCAGCTAATGACAGGCGCATATAATGAGCGAGAGATACAGAAGCAGTTAATGAGGGAGATAACATAAACTTTAAAGTCACACAAACAATGAGACATATAGAATGTGTCCATAAGGACTCCCACTCCTAGCATTTGTGAAACCCTAACACCCAATCAGGGAGCTCCATGCCCAACACACCCAGGTAATGACGGGACCAAGCCAGGTGTTGTGTGAAACTTCAGAATTTAAATCAATTCCTTTTAGATCTATTGCTCCTGATGATTGTGATGTAGTGTTCTCCATAGCAACAGCTGATTCCGATCCTTACATATAGTGACGCATCACATCATATTTTGTGGTACAAGCTGCCTCTACTGTTCACACAGACTCCATCTTGGGTAGCCCAAGGTAAGATCGGATCACATCCAAACTTTCTTCAAACCCACAAAACGTTCTTTTAAAGTCTAGTTGAGATCCAAGAGTTTCCAAAGATGCCAAAAAAAAAATTAAGCACAAAACATGAAGAATATTTCCTTTTGATGGAACATTGGTTGATTTGATGAGTAGACCTATATAGCTAGCATCCAGATGAACTCCACATACAATTTAAGACACTTTCCTTCACATGTAGCCTTATATATACATCTCTGTTGGCCAGATCGGAAATCTGATTTCATGTAATTTCATCTTCCTGGCCACATGAAAACTAGGGTCAGCTCTACTCTAGAGTGTAGTGGTAGTGTATCTTGTGATTTACAGTTTCCTACTGGACCCATAGTTTTACTCGCTAATGCAGCTAACTGTCGCTAACTCTATCTGCAGTTAGCTGGCCTGGACCCAGAGTTTCATGATGGAAAGATTGATAAGTTGCAAACCGTTAACTGCTTGGTCAGCCGTGCAGCTAAAGTAACTGACTCAGCCCTTTATTCTGAAGAGAAAAAGAGAAACAGAAACTTAGGTTACGTTCCTCTGCACACAGACTGTGTGACCAGTGTGTAGGATTTAGTGGCATCTAGAGGTGAAGTTGCAGATTGCAACTAACTGACACTACTTGCGTCTGTATTTAACAACCTGGGAATGAGAACGGGCTGTGAAGTGTGTAGGAGAAGCTGGGTTTGCCTGTTTTGGGCTACTATAGAATGATGGCGGTTCCACTTGGCGGACTCCATGGAAGGCCACTCGCTGCGCCTTTTGATTAAAAACAGCTCATTCTAAGGTAACAAAAACACAGTGATTCCTGTATTTAGGTGATTATACACTAATGAAAACACTTCAAAATCACTCGCTGTTGTGTTTCTGTGTCTAAACGCACTAGTGCTTTCCATTCCGCCACTGTGAGTCACCAGCAGACAGTCGCTCTCAGCCAACACATCTCTCCTCATTTACAACCACTCAGACTAAGAGCAAAAACTGAGGTGTTGTTTAACAGTATTACTTGCATCCTTCCATCACTGCAGCGATGGATATGAGGTTTGTTGTCAAATATGGCGTGTGATGGAGAGGAGAGGGGTGGGCAGTGCTAATGAAAGGAGGAGTGGAAGTAGATCAAACCGAGGCTAATGAAAAAAGAGGAAGACACATCCTCCCTTCCTCTCTTATATGTTTATTACACTTTACTCTTCTTTTTTAGTATTTGTTGTCTGGAAAATATGTATCCAGACTGATCCTTCAATCACAGTAACACCAGTGTGATATAAGGGGCAGATAGGGTAGGGGAGGTGATGGGGGAGCGGCCTGGCCATTACTGCCCACTGTGTTTGTGTTCCACTCCCACCTGCACAATATAGATTTCGTGTCTTCTCCTGTCCTGCAGTTGAAAAGACGCTATTTTACTGTCAGTAGTTACTGAGAAATTTCTCCAAATGCCAGACTTGCTTTGCTTTTCTTTTGTAAAACCTGCTTTAATCTTCTTTTCGACTTCATTTTTGATTCTGTCTCCATCCTTCTGGTGGGTGTAAATCCAGGGATCCACAGTTTATTTTTTGACCACCCACTCCCACCCTCGGCAAAGTCAGATCCGCTCGTTCCTGCGAAATCTTCCTTTCAATGCAGCCCTCTAGTTCCATCTATTAAAACTGCGTAGGTGGAATTGGGTGCGTTTGACTGGGACACCCCAGGACCCCGATACTTTGGTATTTTTAAATAGCACAAATTGAAACAGAAACCTAAAGCAATGATATGAAGTCAACAGGAACAAATTGAAAAATTGGAAAAATAGAACAAAAAGTGACAAAAAGTATACTTCTGGGGTCTGCAAAATCTGAAGCCAGTGTTTGGTTTGTCCCTTTTGGGCTTCTGTAGAAACATGGCGGACTCCATAAAAAAGGACCTGCTCCCTTGTTCTGTAGGTAACAGTAACAACAATATTTATATTCAGATGATTATACACTAATACAAACATAACTATGAATAGTATATTCCATTTCTGCCAATAGATCCTCCTCAATGTTACACACTGGACATGCAGCCAAAACAGAAAACTCCAGCGAGAAACTTTACACTCCAATGAGGAGAAAGAACTAAACTGCAAACCTGGCAGGACTCAGGGTCTTTACGCATGAGGAAAAGATTGATGTTTTAAATAAAGGTATTCAATTGTACAGCTGCGATTTAACAGGTTTTAAAAATCCATGAGCCTTTCAGTGTTTAAATAACAACATGTGTTTATTTGCTTTCATGGAAAACTATAGACCAATATGGAATGTCTATCCAAACCCCATTATAGACAGACAGACAGACAGACAGACGGACGCTACATTCCTGACAGAAACACATTCTCAGTCCTGTGGCCTTCGTGCTGCAGTAATTTACACAATAGGGGCACATTTTCTCTGCCGCCGACATCAAAGCACTGAAAAAACACTGAAGCTTTTTGTTGCAGAATATTCACACGTTTGAAGTTCTGTTGTTTAGTTTTCCGATGTATGTATGTATGATGATGATGATGATGATGATGAGGAGGATGTTTGGTTTTTCCGATGTATTCAGTGTATTTCTGTCTTTTCTCCAAATTAGTGTTTTTTACAAATAATACTGATTCAAAAAATGTTTTGTCTTTTTTTTTGTCTTTTGTCCCTCCTTCTATCTGTTCCCATTCTTTCCTTCCTCTCATCCCCAAATCCATCTCTCATCTCTTTTTACCACTTCACCCCTCTGTACCAACTCCCTTCATGTCCTCCTCCCTCTTCTTCAGCAATGCCTTCAGACACCTCTGCCAATCCTCTCCTCCAGCAGCAGCCTCCACCCCAACAGGCCCCTCCCCTCCTCCCTGGCTCGTCCGCCCCACCGGGTGAACATGTCCCCGGGGTTGGCCCAGTGCCCGGGGCTCCTGCGGCTGTTACCGCAGCCGCCGCAGAGGAGGCCCAGGCTGGTAGCGGTCGGACCATCCCGACAGCCTGCGTGCGGCCCACCCACCCGTTGCGAAGCTTCACCAACCCGCTGCTGCCACCGCCAATGGGGACTATCGACCCCAAAGTGTACACCTCCATGATGCCACAGTCCAGTGAGTACAGCTGTTTGGTTTACAGATCGAGGGTCAAGACGCACCCAGTATGTTTTTTTGTTTTTCCAAATCTGCAACTGAACTAAAGTGCAAAAGTTGATATTGTGTTTGTTCATATAGACAAGTAAAATGTCACATCTCACTTGCCTGTTTGGACAAGTGGTAAAAATACAATGAAGCAAAGGCTTTTCTGGAGCTGATGATGGAGGTAGCTAAGGAATAAGCTATCTTACTTCCTTCTCATCTCTTTTGAGCATTGCACGTGCTCAAGACCGATCGGGCATTTACGATAAAATGGCAGCAGGCAAAGTTTTTATGAGTTGAAGCACAAGCAAGCTTTTTCTTATCAGGGAAGTAGGAGTTTAGTTGGGTTGGGGGCTATGGGCAAAACTCCAACTATGTATAGTAAAACAGTTTGCTGCAAGTTTGAGTGCAAGGCGGATAAAATGGGGCTGTTTTTGAAAGGCGTGTCAAGTTTCTAATCTGGTCTCTGTTATTTGATAACCACTATTAAACAAAACGATTTGAATAGAGACAAGTAACAATAGTTTTTGGGGAAAACTAGTAGTAGTACATTAATGTTGAGCCCTTATAGAAAAACATTTTACATCGGTTTGCAAGTGTGCCGTACATTTTGGACCCTTTCAGATGTCTTTGATCCTCTTTAGTTGGCACAGTCAAACCACTATGTCAATGCATGTTTGCTTGATGTTACATATCATAACATATATAAGTGATGTGACATAACATGAGACATAACGTGACATAAACTTAATTTACATTTTGTGATGTGACGTATGTTAAGTTCCTCTGATGTTTACAAGGCTAAAACTCTCAACTATTGAAAGGAATGGGGAAACCCCTAACTGCGGTAGGCAGCTGGACTCCCAAGACCATGCAATAATCCATCTTGCCAGGCATTAAGCTGTGCTGCTTGCCAGCATGAGCTACGAGCGTGGTTTGTGTGAAGACGTGAGTTTGCTCGAAAACAACATTGGCGGCTGCTAAAGAGGTTATCATAGATGCTGCTAGCATCAGTTCTATGAGAACTGGAGAGTATTTCTTCATTGAAAGAAGAGCAAAGAACATTGTTTTGTTGACTAAAGTAGTGAATTGTTCCTTCGTTTTGGCTGATATATAATGTGTTATCTTAATTAACATACATTTGTTGAGATACGTTTGTTAAGTCATGAGACAGTAATGTTAAGTGATTACAGTGATTCAACAGAATGCTTTTGCTTTATCCAGTTTTTCTGCATTAAGATATTTGTGCAATACACTTAAGGTTTTATAATTTATTAAGTAGCTTAACTATTACATTCCAGCCAATTAATATATCTTCAACATAAACAAACTTTCACTGAAACCTCACTCCTAGTAGAAATTGTAGCCATCCTAGAATTGAGCTCTTTTAATTTAGTGCTCATTCCTTGAAATTCTGCCAGCCTGCTCTCACTTATTTGCTTAAAGTGAAAACAAGAAAATACGGCAGGTTTATCACACATGATGACAAAAACAATATTTTAAAAAATCCCCCGACTGGTTCAACTCTGTAGCAGCTCTTGGAGTTCCAGTTTGTTGTTTTCTCAGATTCCAGTGACTCTTTGTTTAAGCTCTATTCTCTCTGCTGAGCGGCTGCACTTTGTTTAATATTTTATTCAGGGAAGCTAAATGTGTTAGCCCCAGGCTGCCCAGGTGTGTATGTGTATGTATGTGTGT